CTGATCAGAATGTAATACGATCTGTATTCTGAAATCATAATGGCTTGTTAGTTACATCGTATAATATTTTGAAAGTTACTGTTAAACTGTTTCCATTCCAAGAATGTTGATGGACTGATTTTATATTTTTAATTAGATACATTGTACAAAAATCAATGTGATAATAAACATCTCTATACTGTCCAAATGCTTTTCAAAATAACATTTAGTTGCTATACATTATTGTCTGTTTTATATTTAGGTACTGTAGCACTATATACATTGTATTTCTTTTCTTGTGGGCAGAATGGTTTTCTTGCTACAAGAACAGTTAGCTCTTAGTTCAAGAAATCTCTTCTTGAATGGTTTTCTTGCTACAAGCACAGTTAGCTCATAGTTCAAGAAATCTTTCCTTGTGTACAGAATGGTTTTCTTGCCACAAGAACAGTTAGATGTTAGTTCAAGAAATCTTTTCTTGTGTACAGAATGGTTTTCTTGCCATAAGAAGAGTTAGATCTTAGTTCAAGAAATCTCTTCTTGTGGGGAGAATATTTTTCTTGCTACAAGAAGAGTTAGATCTTAGTTCAAGAAATCTTTTCTTGTGTACAGAATTGTTTTCTAGAAAACTTAGAAATTCTTACTGCAAGAATAATATTCTAAGGATATTCAGTTCAAGATACATAAGAAAAGAAATCTTACCACAAGAAAAATATGCTAAAATGCAGTTTCTTGAAATTCTTGTCTCATGGACAAGATTTTTTTCTTGGGTGAAGAATAATTTTCTCAGTGGAAGAAAAGTTTTCTTCTCTGAAGAAAAACAAGATTGGCCTTTTTGGTAGTGTGTGAAGTTACCCACAAAGTTGAAATTGTTGGTGGAATTTGAATGACTCACAAGGTACTAAAGAAGTTAGTGTTACAGACACTGCCTGGGCAGCTCTGACACACAGGCCAGCCTAGGGATGTGTAAGGAGATAGGGTTGACCTGTGGTGACCTAGTTTCTCTCCACACATGGATGTCCAGTGGGGAAACTCCTGGCCAATCATTGACTTGAGTGTTAATTTGGTGTGACGACCTCTACTGCTAGAAGTCAGAGGAAGAGGATTACACTTGTGTTACCCTAGCTGCCAGGGTGGAGTGCTTCAGTAAACAAGCAAGGGAGGAATCCAGCATATTACTGCCTTATTCCTGAGGAACCAAATCTGCCTTACAGTATGTACCTGGCCAGTATGTGTGTGCATTACAAATGTACATGCCCCTTGTTGGACATGGGGCAGAAGAGCTGACCTACGTTTGTACATGTACATGTACATACTGTAACTTTTCGAGCACTCGGGACCAAGGAAAAGTGGTCTTCTTATACAAAAAGTATGGCAAGGACGAGGAGATACATGTATGTGAAAGCCAAGAAAACCTCAGCAAAATTCCCACCCAGTTTACAATACTCTACTCTACTCTAGACTGCTGACCCAAAGTGACCCAGCTGGTACCTGATTTTGTATTGCACAAAGATGGCCATGCTGTCTAATCAATGGCAAACTGGCCGCTTCCATCAAGACTTCTTGCTAGCTATCATCAAAAAACGTTTTCTGCCACATTTGAAAATGGCATGGTCGTCATATGCAGAGGTTGAGCCATGATGTGCATCCCCAAATATAGTGCCAGTCGTGGTGGCATTGGACAAGTGGTTGTCTTACAACATACATGTATGCCGTAAAATTTGGGAATGAGAAAAGCTGTCATTATGACCAGATGGCCGGCTTATAGAGGTGGTCACTGATCATGACTAAGAGACATTTTCTACACAACCAAGTCTTTTATTCAGCTGACGTTTCGGTGACCGTCTGTCACCTTCTCAGGGCAATTGTCGGACTTCACATTGCATTGCAGCACAGGTGTGAGGTGTCGCTGCTACACAGCATTCCCAAATGTACAATATTTATATATCATTCTACACATACTACACTATGCATCATGGTTACAGGGAACTGTATCACTATAATGCCAAACAAAGGAGTTGCATATATACAAAATTGTGGTCAGTTATGAGATCAAAGCATTTACAGAGAACACAGAGAACAGGTCCACGGTTGCCCTGAGGAAGGTGAGAGACAGTCACCGAAATGTTGAATAAAAGACTTGTGTAAAGAGAGTCTCTCTCTACTCAGTGACTTACTAACCTGATGAAACTATTCACGGAGAGGTGGTCACTTTTACAAGTTTGACTGTATACTAGACAATGTGTTTAAAATACTGGAAACAGTCTGACATCAAGACTATGCTTTAAGAAGGACATTACAAAATGTATATCCTTGGTAAATTATGAAAATATTACTTACAAGTTTAGTTTTCAATACTATAACCCATCCACTAGTGATTTTTTAAGTTTCAAAAGTTCTGCAATTTTTTCGAAACTTTTTAGTAGACCAACAAAATGCCTACTACTGGTTAGCATGCTAGGGTTGGCTTGTAACATGATCTCCAAGAAGCAACTGTGGTAGAAAATTGTGGGCTTGCTTGTCATGGCCTCATCTGCCCTAGATAAGGAGGTATCAGGAGACCTCCTAAGAATAAATAGAGGTGGTCCCCAAACAGCATGTGTCTGGCTTCTGGTGTTGCTAAATGATTTATCCCCTGACCAGAGGGCCTACATTTGTACCAGAGTCCACCCAACTGCACTGTGAGTGTGAGGGTCTCCCAAGGATTAGCTGGCTAATCCAGCGTGTAATTAAGACATGTGAAGCCTTTCTTGAGGCATATACAATGCACCTGAAATTTTCACTTCTTCCAGTTGAATAAAATAGAATCTACTCTCTGACAACTATTGGAAACTTTGTACCAAACTACCAGAATCAATGTAATTCAAAAATGACTACCATGTTGGATGATGGTAAACGCTTTCAGCACTGCACAGGGGGAAGGGAAGATTGTCCTTCATAACATGGAGAGCATGAATGGGCACTACAAAAAGGCTGCAGGAAAATTGTTCCCTGTGCCACTTCATACCTGTAGGATAACTCTTGTCAGAATCAATATGCAAAGTGAGCCAATTTTAGTAGCAGTAAAAAGTTTCAAACCTCCTCCCAGATCTAGAGGTATAAATTGAAGGGGATTCATTCCTCAAGCTAACCAACATCTTGCACACACAGTACAGTCGTCCCTCAGTAAGACATCTGCAGCCGCATAGTTTGTTCCCGTTTAGAAACTTCTCGTAACATGACTGTAAGGGTAAACTTCTATGCAGCAGAGAAAAACCCAATGCTCCATTATAAAAATTTGACTATACAATATGTATATGCTGCTCAGCTGTGTGGGCAAACACTACATCCTTGTTGCTAGCACTTAGATTTGCAGTTAAATTGCTTTTTTTTGTGTTTCAAGTCACCGCATTTCAAATGCAGATTGCCCATCATCTTGACCACGCCAGAACCGCTGCAACTGCGCCAGAAATTTTGCTTAAGAAGGAACTCAAAAAGTTTATACAACGTGGAATCTAGGCAGAAATATAGACCAACGACAGAAGAAAACGAATACATCTGATGTAATAGTTTAACGTTAGGGCAATATTAGAAGTAGCTTATATTAGGCCATCTGTGACAGTTTCAACAAATTATATCCTTTTAGGATCTATTTTGCCAGATAGGACTGATTTCCTCTGTGAACATGTTTGAGTGGCCAGGATTTAGCTCCCGTTGCGTGAAGGCTGATATTTTGCGGGTTGTAACATTCACTAAAAAGACTGTGATCCCACTCGCCATTCAACTTTCGAGCGTAAAGTTAGTAACTTGGGGGAAAACATGTAACTGCGTGTTTTCTATTCATACTTGATTGGCAATGTATTCACAGCATCTTACAAGGTCCATGTCTAATGATATTGTAGGCTGATCGGTTATTTTTGTGGTACTTTGCATCACACCAGGCATCGGAAGCCAATCCATTTTGTGTTCACACTCGCGGTTACGCCTGATCCCGCCGCAAGTGTCTTGAACTACCTCCTCGAGGTGGATTACTTTTGGATCAGGATGGGAGAAAATCAATCTGGATTTGAGTGTTCACACTGCAAAAACTGATCTGGATTGACTGAATTTCAATAATTTCGATCGGGGTCCGTGGTCAATCCGGATCCATCTTTTTGAAGGTGAACGGGGTCTACAAACAGAGAGAAGTTGACCTACCTAATAAGAAAGGCCAGTTAAACCTTGGCCACCTTTTGGCCAGTGTAACTCACCAGCTAAGAGTCCATGTAGTGTTGTAACAAACCACACCTTTTGAAAAAGAGAAGGGGCATGCCCTGGTGTGCGATGGTCCAAATACTAGTACTTATCTGATTATTCACTACGGACAAGAGTAGTGTGAAATTCACACTGATGGAGATCCTAAAACAAACAAACAAACAAATAAACAAACTACAGTCAACACAACACAACAGATATAACAGCAAAACCAATGGTAAACAGAGCGTAACTTGGAAAATTCCAACTATTATGCATAATTATGCATAAGCCTGAGAACAGTTATGCATAATTATGCATAAGCCTGAGAACAGTTATGCATAATTATGCATAAGCCTGAGAACAGTTATGCATAATTATGCATAACCCTTGGAAGCCTTATGAACAATTATGCATAACTGTTTGAAGCATTATGCATAACTCTTGACCATTATGCATAATTATGCATAACCTTCAAACCCTTATGCATAATTATGCATAATTATGCATAATTATGCATAATGTTGCAAATTTAGATTAATCCCCAGGGGGCAATCGATGGTGGCTACGTATTTCTTACATCATTTTTACCTATAGTTTGCAATTTTAGCCCATCAGGGTGTAAGGTGGCTGAGATATGGGAGGCCAGTCCGGAATTAAACTGGAAGTCCGGAATTAAACTGGAGGCTGTTATTTATCATTGTTGGACAAATCTTGTTCTAGAGTTTCATTCAAATTGCTGACTGTACTCTCCCATAGACCTTAGCCGTTGACATGGTCTAACACTGTGTTGTTTTTCTCTGTAGTCCTGGATCCGTGACAAGGCCAAACTGATCTCGTCTACAGAAGACCTGGGGAATGACCTGGCAGGTGTGATGGCACTGCAGCGCCGACTGACCGGCATGGAGCGGGACCTCGCAGCCATCCAGGCCAAGGTCAGGACTAACTGTCATCCACATTTTCAGTCATTTCTTCATCTCAAAGTCATATGTAGGCTTCGTTCTTCTGATTTTCTTTGAATACAAGTTGGTATATGTAAAGAATGAAGAAAGGTGTAAGTGAATTTGAAATGCTGCAAAGAATCCTTAGCAAGACATGAGAGATGTATATGTGCCTTTTGCTGACTGCAATGTGCTTGAATGCTTTGCCTGTGTTTGTTGTTGCCTTTTGTTGTTTTGTGTTGTTTTGTCTGTACCGCTGCTTTGTTTGTGCCAATATTTCAACAAACAGACTTGTTGCTATACAATCTGTCTGTCTGCCTGTGACTTGACACCCATTGGTGAGAGGGGAAGCTCTATGTGGGTACACGCTTCAGTATTGAATTGTTAAGCAACAAAGAGGCATTTGCCCCCCTCATTTACCCACCTCACCAATGGGTGTGCCTCTCTGTGCACAGCGAGTGGTAGAGAGGGTGAAAAAAGAACTGCCTTTGATTGAAGAGCAGGTACACGTTTGGAAAGTCTGCATGCGTGTTTGTGTGATCTCTTTGCTGTTGTCCTATGCCTGCCCCATGCACTGTATTTAGTTTTGCCTTCCTATACTACTTCTTGTGTGCATACCTCCTTGCTTTCCTTTTTTTCATTATTATATAATCTTTCTGCCTTTCTGACTGCTTGGTGTTGGAGTGTTAGCTGCATGTATTGAGTGGTGTGGTGTGGCATGTGAGCTATACAGTATATTACTGAAGCACATTGAATGTTTCCCCATTATACAGTATGATACCCAATTTTTCCCCTTCCCACTAGCTTGATGCTCTGCAGAAGGAAGCAGACAAACTGGCAGAGGAACATCCCGAGGTATGGCATCCTTACTTCAGAAGGTTTATAGTTGAACCTATGATAAATTTAAAAAGATAACGGTACTACATGTTGGTAAATAAAGCATCTGATGTACATGTACACTATTTTTAGTCACCAAGAAATAGGATTTCAAACTACCCTTGTCAGAAAGTCCCTGACAATATAGTGTACCTTGATGTACCCTAAAAAGAGGAAAACTATTTTAACTTCCCGGTTGAAATATTTAGCAAACAGTTTCAGTAAAGCAAAAGTTTTCAGCTTTTTTGTTGTCATTGAACCATGACATTGTGTAAATAATCTTAAAAGCTGATCTATGTCCAAACAGTAAACGTTTCGAGTTTCATTATGCATTTGTTTGGAATTATATCAGTTTGCTCCCCTTTCTATTGGTTATCCTGATTGAATCCATTGATTGAAAGTTTATTAGAATCCCGGTAGTGTTTCTAATGTTGAATATGAGACCTGTTTAAAGTTAAAACTTTTGGTCCAACACAAAAAATTCTCTCACCTAGAGCTTTCGACCAGTCACTCTGGTCTTCCTCAGTAGACTGACCCAGTGAAGCTTGTCACATGGCTTCTTTGAAGTGTGATGTCAACACTGCGTCAAAGGTATCTGGTAGACGATGTCGGCCCCCGTCGCGGTTCAATGAAGGGTGATGGGCCCTGATGTATATGGCTTCCTTCACCCCTCTCAAGAAATAGTCTTGTTCAGTGTCTAAAATCCTTACAGTGTCAGGTGAAACAAAATGTCCGGGTGACTCTATGGATGTGTTGAGACATGTTATAAGAGATTGGTACCTTTTGTCTTGACTTCAGGAGGCTGATGCCATCCGTCAGAAGATTGCCCAGATCCAGGACGTGTGGCAGGAACTCAGAGTCATTGTAAGTATCAACAGTCACCAACCATCACATTGTGTTACTCTAAAAGAAAAATAGATTATAGCATTTGAAAAATGTTGAAATCTCACAATTGTGTCGAAATGATACCATATTAATTTTCACATCCGGGAATAGAAGTATTGTTTTGTCCAATGGTGAGTTGACTAATGACTGATATTTAATGTTGTAATACCCGATTAGAATACATCTTAAGATCAACACCACGGTTCCAATACATTCACGAAAAGAAAAGCAACTTTCCGAGAGTCTTGAGATCTCTGATTTCTTTTTTACAGCTGAAGAAGCGAGATGAAGCCCTAGGAGAGTCCGGCAACCTGCAGAGATTCCTGCAAGATTTAGACAACTTCCAGGCTTGGTGAGTCTATGTACAACGTTTTAGATGCATCAGGGCAATCTTCATCCCTGTTGTGACCGTATGTTTCACTGCAGTTGTAAGTGGTGTGTGTAGTCCAGTGGTTAGCAACCCTGCCTCTGGACCAAGAGGTGGGGATTTCAAATACCGGGTGTTGTTGCTCACCCTACATCAGGGGTGCCAGAGTATACAGTGCAATTTTACGGAATACAGTGCAAGTTTACTGGTATACAGTGCAATTTTACGGAATACAGTGCAATTGTATTAGTATACAGTACAATTTTACGGAATACAGTGCAATTTTACTAATGACGTTGAATCACGTGCCTTCGACCCTGCTTTTCTTGAGTTTCAAGATGGCGGACGCCGCTGACTCACATACCTTTTTCGAGCGAGTTCAAAATGATCCCTGTGTAGTAACATGCCCTGTGTACAGTATGTAGTGATTTGACTAAAGGTCTATCTACGAGAACGGTCCAAGTTCGCTCGAAAAACACAGAAATATATGAGTACGCTCCGTCAGCGGTGTCCCCGAAAAGCCGGGCCCAGGTTACGTCATTAGTAAAATTGCACTGTATTCTGTAAAATTGCACTGTATACTAATACAATTGCACTGTATTCCGTAAAATTGCACTGTATACTAATACAATTGCACTGTATTCCGTAAAATTGCACTGTATACTCTGGCACCCCTGTACATGCACTCCACTGTAGTCCTCCACTTGCAAGTCCTCAGGACAGGACATTAAGCTGTAGTCCATGATTGTGCCTGTTGAAAAGAGCTAGGGGAATTTCCCTGGTGCAATGAACCTGCATGTAAGTACTGTACATAATGTCTGTGTTCTCTGTCACAACCAGTTACTGTAGGAGATTAGCTCTTCAGTGAGCTAAAGCTGAAACATTTGTTTCCTTACAAAACTGTGTTCCCCCCCCCCAGGCTGACACAGACACAGACAGCCATTGCCTCAGAAGACATCCCCAACAACCTAGCAGAAGCAGAGAAACTGATGACACAGCATGCTGCCATCAAGGAAGAAATCGACGGGTACGAGGAGGACTACGCCAAGATGAAGGAGATGGGAGAAAAGGTGACTCAGAGCTATTCTAAAAAAAAGGCATACAAAAAGCCATCCGACACGACACCCAGCTCGACAGGAAAAACCTGATGGTAGAAATGAAGGATAGGAAGAGATGGAGAGCAGTCATTGGAACCGATGGAAGCTCGACCCAGTGAGTGAGTGAGTGAGTTTTCACCGAGTACTAAAATTTTCTGTCATTGAGTGTTGTTTTGTGTTGGTGCACAGGTGACCAACGGCCAGACGGATGCCCAGTACATGTTCCTGCGTCAGCGTCTGGGCGCGCTGGACGAGGGCTGGGAGGACCTGCACAAGATGTGGGACAACCGTCAGGAGATGCTGTCCCAGTGTCTGAACGAGCAGCTGTTCCTGAGGGACGCCAAGCAGGCGGAGGTGCTGCTGGCACACCAGGAACACTTCCTCACCAAGCAGGACGCTCCCGTATGTACACCACACAGCATCTTACAGTTTAACAACATGGTCTGACAGAGAAAAGAGATAAATTATTTATCATGAAATCTGTGTTGGTAGTTACATGTTTAAAGTCAAAACTTTTGATCCAACACAAAGAAATTCTGTCACCTCTTTCTAGGTAAGAGAATTTCTTTGTGTTGGATCAAAGTTTTAACTTAAAACGGCTAAATTGCATCACATTGCAACGTTTCTGTATATTATGTCGTACTTGATAGTATAATGCTGTACAGGATATATTTTTTAAGTAATAGCGCACTCGTCAAGTTGAGATTTGTCAATGATAGGCCTAATAGTTTTCTACATTAACATGCTACAGTATATTCTTTTATTGTTCATTAATGTTTTTCAGAAGTTGATATATATTCATTTGTGACATAAAATAGCAGTTAAGAGTAGTTCTAAAACAGCTGTTAAAGATATTAGAACATGACCTAGCTTTTGCTTGATTAATCCCAGCAAATCTGTTCTTCCACCTCCCTCCCCTCCCCATGTGCCATGTCTAATTGATATTCCTATCCTCACCCTCCTGCCCAACACAGCGACGCTCGGGTATGGACCAGGTATGGGCCTGTGCTTCCTCCGCAGATAAATAAAAAAAAAAAAAAGACCTGAAAAATAGCACGCAAAATAACACCTAATGCCTGCTTCTGCAATGCCATGTTGTAATATGATTGCTAATCATGAGTCCTTCCTAATTGTGCAGAATGAAAAGCATGACAACATTGCCTGCTGGAGTCCTTAATGCTTGTGCTGCCTTGCTTCTGCATCTAACGATGAAATCAACACCATAAGAGCATGACACTCCTAGTGCTGTGTACCAGTTCACTGGACCGGTTCCCGACTTGTAAATTTGGTTAGGTTCAAGTCCAAAAAATCTTAAAAGTCAAGAACCGATTCCGGACTGATTACAAAAAAAACATGTCACATACTCCTTTTCTTTCCAAACCACCTAAAACCTTCCACAGATTGCAAAATTTGTGCTGCAAAATAAAGAAAACATTGCCATCAGGCATCATCAAGTGTTTGCCTCCCTGTTATGTGGCCAAAGTTTTGCCCAGGCAACATTGCAAGGTTGCCAACATGCAATTTTGTATATGCCATGGGTTTAGGTCTGGACTTGCGAGTCCGGAACTGAACCTAAACCTCTGGACTCGAATCTGGGCCTGAACCTAAATGTGTGTTTAGGTACACAGCACTAGACACTACACTGTGAAAAGCTCACACACATTTTCTTGCAAGAAATTGACTGTCTGTGTGGATCCTCAGAACTCCCTGGAGGCGGCGGAGAGCGCTGTGAAGAAACAGGAGGCCTTCATGCAGACCATGGAGGCCAACGACGAGAAGATCAACCACGTGTGCCAGTTTGCCAACCGGCTGGTGGACGAAAACCACTACGCAGCAGACAAGATCAAGAGCAAGGCTGATACCATACAGGATAGGTCAGCAAATACACTCACTGTTGTCTGGAAACATAATCTAGTACTTAATATTTAAAATGAATCATGTACAGTCAAAATTTGTATAAGACAACCACCCAGGAGACCAAGGCAAAGTGGTCTTCTTAGACAAGTGGTCTTCTTATACAAAAAGCATGGCAGCAGGACAGGACAATTTCCGCCCAATTTTACAACAGACAGCCCCACTGACACAAATCTGTTAAGGCTTATGTCTATGGGGGATAAATTGGGACCGAAAAGAGTGATTGTTATACCCAGATGGCCAGCTTATAGAGGTGGTCGCTTGGGCAAGATTGACTGAACAAGTTTTGATTGGTTGTCTAGGGCCACACCAATTTAATTTCTTGGTTAACAGATTTTTCAAGAAAAATATTGGAGCGGGCGGGCAAAAAAAAAAATTAAAATAAAAACCGGCCTAGGCATCCTATTATGGCCCCAAATGGTATGATAGGAGCCATGAAGTCAACACACCAGGCTGGTTGAAAATTTAAACAATGAATTTTTAACTTTTAATGATACCACTGCATTGAAAGATGGAATAACTGTAACAACTAGTTTGAAAAGGACTGTTTTCAACTGTTCAGGGCAAAATATCAGCATTTTGCAGTTGATTCTGAATTTTTATTTTTATTTGCAAATCAGAAAGAAATGAAGCGGGCGAATCCGTTAACCAAGAAATTTAATTGGTGTGGCCTAGTTGTTGATTTGATTATCTTTGTTTAAGTTAATTTCCGAGCTGACTGACAAGTTGTCTTTGTTGAACAGACGAGATGGCAACAGAAAATTAGCAGACGATAATCTGGAGAAGCTACGAGACGCTCTACAACTTCAACAATTCCTACAGGAGTGTGATGAAGTAAGGACACAGTAATGTTTCTATCTACAGGTTGACTTGTCATCTGTCAAAGTTTTCAAACTGGTAGTTTGTCTTTTTGACGTGTGTAGAGATGGGTGAAGATACATGCTTTTCTGACCCCCCCCCCAAAAAAAAAATACCATATTTATTAATCAAACATACTTGTTTTAACAGCAAACAGAAAAAGGGGCCAATTGAGATAATTGTTTGAGTATCTTTCCTACAAAAGAAGACCATGATTTAAGATACTAATTTGAGCATCTTTTCTATAGAAATTGATAAACAAATTCGAGAAGATACTTGGTTGAGCATCTTTTTACTCAAAATGAAAAAAGACCATGATTTATGATACTTGTTGACATTTCAACAAAAATTGAAAGTGACCAGTTAAGACACTCAAGTCTTGTTTGAGCATCTGCTTAAAAACTGGTGCCTTGCTTGTGTTGTTAATGACTGTTTTGTACTTTTCTCCCAGTTGGGTTACTGGATCAATGAGAAGTTACTGACAGCCCAGGACGCCCTACCAGAGGGCACCCGTAACCTCCACAGTAAGTGGCAGAAGCACCAGGCCTTCATGGCCGAGCTGGCAGCCAACAAGGACAGACTGGACAAGGTGCACCAGGTACGACATCACCCACAACTTCTCATGTTTTAAATCTGAACATTTTCCCATCAACCAGCCTACAGCCATGTCACAAATGAGCTTCCTATGCAATTTCAGGGCAGCAAAACTAAAAAGATATTTTTTATAAAGAAATCTGTCTGATATTGACATGTACTGCTACTTCTGACCACAAAGTTTCATCTTCATTCATTAATTCATGTGTTTGAAATACCCAGTAGCCCCAAAACAAGCTACATGAGGCATCTCTCCAGCGTACGATACAAAACAAGAAACTGTTTTCCGTCAGCGACATCACATTTTTGCCTCACAGGTATCAGTATGCTGTGGGATTGGGTTAATTCAACTTGCTGCATTAAAAGAATGAGCAGAAAAACAGACTTTTGAAAATCCAGTTTTGTTGCCCTCAAATTGCATTGGATGCCTTAAAGGAAAAACATTGTCTCAGGTTTCTCTGTTTTGTGCTGTATGATACATAATGATTATAGAATACAACACGGGGTATTCCGTATTGCCCAAGGTACCAGCCCGAGCGCGCGTCGGATCAGCTGAAGGCCGGAGGGAGATCCGATCCGCAGGAGGGCCGGGACCGAGGGTGATGCGGAATACACTGTGTTGTATTTTATTTATGTCATACCCACCCAAGAAAACATGCCTTTCAATGCAAGAGGAGCGAAAATTTGGTGTCCCTAAACCCAAAATATGCAACAACATCAATTCCAACGTCCAAATTTTGTATTTGAATGTTCAAAAGCGGTGCACGCGGTTAGGGCGAAATGCGTTAATATCGTTCTATGGAACCTTTGGAAGCCCGGGGCGTTCCGCTAGTAATTACACAGGCCGGAATACCCGTATCGAACGTAATCGCTGCCCAGGTACGACATAAATATAATACTGTGGTTTCAGAATGGTGACGACCTGATTCGCGAGAAGCCGGAGACAGCGGACGTGGTGAACGACCGGCTGCGCCAGCTGCAGGAGCAGTGGGACGAGCTGGAGAACACCACCCAGTCCAAGGCACAGAAGCTGTTTGACGCCAACAAGGCCGAACTGTTCGCACAGAGCTGCGACGACGTGGACACCTGGATCAACGACATCGACACACAGGTCAAGTCTGAGGAGTACGGACATGACCTGACTAGTGTCAACATCTTGTTGAAGAGACAACAGGTGAACTCTTCATTCTACTCTTTTCTTGACTTTCTGTAGTGTACCGGTACTGTACCACTAAATTTGATTAGGTACAGGTCCAAAATACCTATTTAGGTACTGTACCTGTACCTAAAATTTGTTTAGGTTCACAGCTCTATCCTGTAGCCTTTGGTGGTAGATTATACTGCACTGGTTCAACCTTGCATGGAATAACGTACATTGTGCAATATTCATGTGAACCACTAGGTGGTGCACACATCCATAGCAAAGAATTCGCAAGGCACGATCAAATTCATGTGATGATGGTCTTATCAAACCATCATTTTCTTAATGCGTTGTATAAGTTGCACATATTAATTTGCCTAGTTTAGTCCATAAATGTTCCCAAAACTACAGTTTGTCTTGATTGTGTTTGTTTCTGTACTCAGCTTCTAGAGAAGGACGTTGACATCAAGCGTCAGCAGATGTTGGAGCTCCAGAACCAAGCAGAGGTGTTGAGGAACGAGGGCAGCATTGTGGATGAGGTTGATGGAAAGAGAGTGCAGGTTGAGGAGAGGTATGTCACACGGCAGTGATTGCCACACCAATCAAACATCTTCCAACCAATCTTCACTTTTTGGCCATGCCTCAGGGGCGGAGCCTTTAAATTTGTCCCCCACTTTGCACAAAAAAAAGAGTCTTTGATTTTTACCGTACGATTATCACATTTCAAATCATAAATCTTGTAAATTCAATTCACTGCACTTAGTTTTTTTTTCAAACTTCGTTACTATTTTTTTCAAACTTCTTTTTAATTAGGTACACAATGAAAGATACCAAAATAAAAAGAAAAAGTATAATTATTGGTCCTATCAGAACCAATCATTTTAGGAGCCAGTGTCTAAAAAAATCCAGTTATGTATTTAAAATGACTTGTGATTTTATGAAAATAAAATTTTACACAATGTTTGTTATTAAAATTATGTATACAGTATTTGTATGTTTGGCAACAGAAAAATGTTTGAGCTTATACTGTCTTAATTTATGGCATATCTAAAAGCAGCATGATTGGAACTTAAACTGCATGAAATATCAGCAAAATAACTTTGACGGCACTGTGTACAGTTAAAAGGCAGCTTGTCGGCCAATTAAGTGTTTACGACTTACTTGCATGCCATGTTTTGTTTTGTTTTTATTTTCCGTTAGTAGCTGCTCTCCAGTTGAAGCCAGGTATTCATGGCATCTCAACAATATGTTCTCTGTTCCTAATGAACATTCTTTACCTTGTGATTTCTTCTGACACTCAGCATGGCTTTGACTCTCACCCCCCTCCCTCATTTCCCATTCATCCGTACAGTATGGCCTGCTTGGCTACCTCTGAGTCGGTGAAGGAACGGTATGTGGGTACTTAGGGGGAAGTCATGCCAAGATCAAATGTCTACTAGCAGGGCTCCAGACTAACTTTTTGACTGAGGAGCACTGTACTCCCAGCCCAAAACAGTTGAGTGCACCAGCAAAAATCTGGGCGCACCACCAGAAAAATATCCACGTAATTTCGTTAAGGTTCCCCACTAAGTTCAACAAGAAAAAATACATGATACAAACTCTACATGCATTTTCTACCTGGAGCTTAAAGCAAGTAAACCTAAGGAATTTCTGTGAAAATCTAAGCTACGAGTAGCTACCATCATATTTTCCTCAAGTATTTCCCCAACCAAATCACAGCTAAAACAAGCAAGAAAATGTTTTCAACCAGCACAGTGGGATTTCCAGTTTTTACCCTTTAGATTTGCGTGTATAATTGGTACTGGTCTCTGGGATTATAATCCACGGGGAAGCACCTGCTTACAAACCAAAGAACCTCTTGTTGGTCTTAATTTTTAATAGGTGCACCATGATTTCAAATATGGTCGCACCAGTCAAAATTCTAGGCGCATTTGCCACTAAACCAGTGGCAGTCAGGAGCCCTGACTAGCTACCTACTGCTTTGGTGTTAACTTACAAGGCATACTGACTATTGTGTGGCGCAAGCTACAACAACTCTAACATTACAATCTTTATTATCTGTCTGATCATACGGATGACTTAAGGTGAAAATGATGGGTGTCTGTCATACTCGTAGCCCATCAAATGTTTTCACCGCTTTTAACTTTACTGAGACCTTGGAAAATTACTGGAGGCCAAAATCGGACACTACAAGTTTCAAATCTTCGTGATGGAAGATCTCTTTCTTTTCCAATGACAGGAAGTTCTCTTCCTTCTACAGTAAATGTTGTTCGATTTGTTTGATTTGTTGATTTGAAAGTGTGCAGTGCTAGCATAGTTGGTGATGGAGTGTTGCTTGTGGTCTGTCCCCACCAGGTTTTCCCAGCTGGAGGGACCACTGGCAGGCAGACGGAAAATGTTGGAGGCCTCCAAGGAGCTGCATCAGTTCCACAGGGATGTGGAGGATGAGAAGGTGCTGTTTTACTCTGCAGTATGGTAGAACATACAACTGTAGCATAAAAACATGTAATAGACAGCATATCTAAAATCTCTAAGTTTACCAGGCATGGACAAGCATGGAGACTTCCAACACTTCATTATGACACAACCTGAATGAATGAATGAATCAATCAATCAATGAATCAATGAATCAATGAATGGTTTAAAAGGTAGTACATAGTAGCTATAAGCTGAATTGCTTATTATTTACAATAAGGCACAATAACAATACGCATGTTGCCTTTGAAAACTTTATAAAACATCAACAAAAACATTTTTCGTGCATTGAACTGCACTTAGGTTAACTTAAAGCTGCACCATGTAATACCAGGAAGATACAAAAAGTCAGTCCTGAGGAAACAAGTTTAAGGACCTCTTGGCATTGACAAGCAGTTGAAGTATTATTCCACCCTGAGTTTCTGTTGTTGTGGTGTTTTTAGTAGTTAGGTTGAGTGATGGAGTATTGATGTCTGTACACAGTTGTGGGTAGCAGAGAAGATGCCTCAGGCCACCTCCCGGGACCACGGAAACAGCCTGCTCAACGTGCAGACATTGATGAAAAAGAACCAGGTCAGTAGACTCAAAATTAGTGCCTAAACCTAAACCCACATTTAGGTCCAGGTCCAGATTCGAGTCCAGAGGTTTAGATTCAGTTCTGGACTTGTAAGTCCGGACCTAAACCCATGGCATATACAAAATTGCATGTTGGCAACCTTGCAATGTTGTTTGGGCAAAACTTTGGCCATATAACATGGAGGCCGGTACTTGACGATGCCCGATGGCAATGGTTTCTTCATTTTGCAGCAAAGTTTTTGCAATCTACGGAGGGTTTTAGGTGGTTTGGAAAGAAAAGGGGTATGTAAAATGGTCTTTTATGGTAATAAGTCCGGACTCGGTTCTTGAATTTTAGTTTTTTTTGGACTTGAACCTAAACATTCTTACAAGTCCGGATCCAAGTCCAGTGAACCAGTACACAGCACTACTCAAAATGTTGAGTTATCAAAATCCATTCTGCTTTTGATTTCAATAGAGCCTGTAGTGAAGTTTTGTCGTGTTTCAGTCGCTGAGAGCGGAGATTGACGGACACCAGCCGAGGATTGACGAGATTTGCGAGCGCGGGCAGGCCATGGTGAGCAGAAGCCACCCCAGCTCAGACGCCATCGAGCACCAGATCGAGGACATGCAGAACCAGTGGGCCGTGCTCATCGACGAGGTGGACGCTCGCAAGCTGCGGTTAGAGGATTCTGAGAAGGCACAGCAGGTGAGGGTGAAATATAACAGTAGTGGCCAAATATTGGACACAGAAAACATTTCACAATCTCACACCAAATCTTACAAACCAATGGACCTATACCATTATCACAGTTTGTTTACCGCAATGAATGCCGGTCAATCGACGTTTATATTGTACAGGGGTGCGTAGAGAGGTGTGTGTTTGTGTAGCGTTAGCCTAATATAAGGCTTTTAATACAGTACTACTTTCGTCTAATGTCACAACTAAATCACCCATACGGCATGTAATGCTGTGTCAACACAACTAGACACAGCAAAAAATCAAACATACCTTACTTTGAAAACTTTGAAATGACCTTTATTCTTTAACTGACAGTTCTAGAATGTTCTTAAGAACAGGTAAACGAACTGTGACGTAAAAATGGTATAGGTCCATTACGTACACGAACTCATGCCACACCAGATTCACTCGCTCTGAAATCTTACACCAAATCTTACAAACCAATTGCACCCATGGGAATTCATTCCGACAAAAAACAGGACCTTTCAAAACCGGCATCAGCAGAGGAAACAAAGAGCTTTCAAGAGCAATGCTTTTATTCAAATACTACATCTTACACGCATGCGTGAAGCTTTTACTCCAATATCACATCTTACACAATATACACACATGCGTTAAAGTAAAGAATGTACCTATTTAGAAGAACATGCCTCTGCATCTATATGATAAACATTCACGACGAGCAACGAATAAAAACAACGACTCAAAATATAACATGGTAGAAGGGAGATCTGACCTGCAGGGGGCTGGGACTGAGGGTGATGCGGAACATGACATGTTGCATTTTATGTATGTCATATCCACCTGAAAAAACACATTTCAATGCAATGCATTTCATGTGCCAAAATTTTGTGTCCCCAAACAAAAAATAAAACAACATCCTTTCCAGTGCCCAAAATCTGGTATTCGAATTTTCGAAAGAGGCGAACATGGCGCAGGCAAAATGTGTTCTACGCAACATGTAGAAGCCCATAAGATGACCAAATGGAACCTGTGTGATACTGCTACTGTTGTCACATGGGCTGGAACACTGTGTGACAACAATTTGACTTAAATGCAAAAGGTCTAAAAAAGTAAAAGGTTTTGTTCCTGTCTTTTTCCTTAGTACTACACTGATGTGGCCGAGGCAGAGGCATGGATGAGTGAGCAGGAGCTATACATGATGGCAGAGGAAAGAGCAAAGGTGGGAAACCTCCATGTTGTTGTTTTTTGGCCATGCCTCAGGGGCGGAGCCAATAATATAGTACTGCTGTTATAAATATTCTAAAAATTCTGTGGGTACATCCCCTAGATTTGATTTTGTTTGTATCTTGATATTTAAGTATAATTCGTACTTCGACCAGCAGCAGTACATTTTCCTTCAGGTGCTTGTCTTGTACTTGAACTAACCCTCGGTCTCTCTCAGGATGAACCAAGTGCAAACGCCATGTTGAAGAAACACGAAGGCATTGAGAACACCATCGAGGACTATGCACAGACAGTCCACGAGTTGTCTGAAACCAGTCGCAACCTTATTGCAGAAAACCATCCAGAAAGGTATAGAATGTCTCCTCTTCTAATGATCTAATAGAATTCCTTGCATATCGTAAGATTAACGTTTTGTTAGCCTAATTTTCCTCCAAGCTGAAAAATGTAATGAAAATATTGCAGAGCACACAAATGTTACAAACAATGTACATGTACTTAATTTTCATATTTAACCATGCATCGCTTGGGTGTTTTAATTTCTACACCTTACTTGTGAGGAAAGCTTTGTGTTTTAAGAAAGTTTATTGCAACTACTTGCCCGAGGGCTAATTGCAGTTACAAACAACATAAAAAAAAAAAATACAGTGGTACATGAGACTATATCTACGTCTAGCATTAAATACAGTGGTATGTGAGACTATATCTACGTCTAGCATTATACTATATTCTACAACATACATGGTGCTAGTTTTACTGGGTTTGACTTCTTCTTTTTAGGCAATGGAAGACGAATTTACCCACTTCTTCTATAATATGTGGGTTCTATTGATTTTAGTAGTAGAATTGTTTTTCTGTGGTAGGGAATGGTGGGGAAGTAAGGGAGCATTTTGGACACGGTGGTAAATAATTATTTTCTGATGTCGTCATAAAATGGACAGTTAGAGATGAAATGAATTTAAGATGCATGTCTCTTGTCCCCCAGCGACCGAATAGCGACGCGGCAGGCACAGATTGACAAGCTGTACGCCGGGCTGAAGCACCTGGCGGAGGAGAGACGGGGTAAGCTGGACGAGACGCTGCAGCTCTTCCAGCTGAACCGGGAAGTGGACGACTTGGAGCAGTGGATCGCTGAGAGAGAGGTGGTGGCAGGGATCACATGAGCTGGGACAGGACTACGAGCATGTTACAGTAAGCACAATTTTTATATACACTGTATGTAAGAGTTTATGGGTGCTAATTTGCTTTTGGTTCTTGGTGGGTGGGAGATGATTTTGACAATTGATTGTTGAGGAGCGTGTGCCTTAAACAAGTGGTGTGATACTCAACTTACATCATACAACCCCTCCATAGTTCCCAAAATGCTTCTAGCAGGTAGGTGAACTTCAAGGTCATGAAAACCAAAAATACTTGCTGGATGACTGGTAGATACTTCAACACAATCTGAAGTGCTTTCTTTGTTCCATCAGATGTTACAGGATCGTTTCCGAGAGTTTGCCAGGGACACAGGAAACATTGGGTCGGAGCGCGTGGCGGCGGCAAACGAGATCTGCGACAAGTTGATTGACCAGGGCCACTCTGACGCGGCCACCATCGCCGAGTGGAAGGACGGTCTGAACGAGGCCTGGGCGGATCTCCTGGAGCTCATCGACACAAGAACGCAGATGTTGGCAGCGTCGTACGAGCTCCACAAATTCTACTATGACTGCAAGGAAGTCCTGGGCAGAATACAGGTCAGGCAGTCGAGCCTTACTGCATGTCTCGTCACAGTAGTGGGGACAATACTATAATGACATGTAGTATTGCCATATACACTGATTTCTTATGGATAAATTAACGCTTGTTATCTTTGGATGTGGAAGTATTGTTTTGGGTTCCTGTTTGTGTGTCAGTTTATCTTTTTGTTGACATTGATGGTTGACAGCACATGGGTGGGGGGTAAGATTGATAGGCACTATATAAGAATAGTATACACTGTATATAATATGTAATATATAATATGTATATAATATGTAAGTATAGAAGGACAGGAGGTCTGATAAAGAATGGGGTAAAGTTGAGATGTTGACAGCAGGTGGGTGGGGAAGACTGACAGGCAGACAAAGTCAAAAGGTCAGACACAGAAAGTGTGGTGAACCTGAAAACCCCAAATACTTCTCTGAAGTCTGCAATCTGCAATGTGTTGTTCCACCAGGAGAAGCAGCAATCCATGTCAGATGAACTAGGCCGTGACGCCGCCAGCGTGACAGACCTCCAGAGGAAGCACACCACGTTTGAAGCCGACATCCAGGCCATTGGGTCCCAGGTGGTGGCCGTCCAGGAGGACGCCAACCGACTCAAGTGTGCGTACGCCGGCGACAAGGCCAAGCAGATCGAGCAGCGCGAGGCGGAGGTGCTGGAGGCGTGGAACAACCTGAACATGGGCGTGGAGGGCCGCAAGGTCAAGCTGGGCGACACGCTGGACCTCCACCGCTTCTTCAACATGCAGCGCGACCTCATGCTCTGGATGGAGGGGATCATCAGGCAGATCAACACGGATGAGAGGCCTAGGTGGGCTTGGCTGACAGAAAGCACTCTTGATTCAGAGTTAATTGTAAAACATCTGTCAAATTAGATGATTTGATCAGTAAATGTCTATTCTTTGTCTCTTGACATAGTTCCACACATTAGTGCTGATGTGTTTTGTGCTGAGATACTACTGTAACTGTAACTGTGTTCTTCCCTACAGAGATGTGTCGGGCGTGGAACTACTGATGGACAACCACCGCAGCGTGGAGGCCGAGATCAACGCTCGTGACGAGAGCTTCGCCGAGTGCATCCAGCTGGGCAACAGTCTGATCGAGAGGCAACACTACGCCTCCAAGGACGTGGAGGAGAAACTGGTGCAGCTGAAGGAGGAGCGCAAGACCATGGTGGACGCCTGGGAGAGAAGATGGGACTTCCTGCAGATCAGTGAGTCCCTCTGTCCCACTGTTTACTTCTTTTGTTGACTGCATACCCAAGGACCAGTTTGCCTAAATCCATTAAGTAGTCAGAGACAATATTTCAACGAGTCTGTGTAATTGTAAAACTAAGAAAGTCCACAAATTAGCAAAAAGAAGAAAACAAGTCTTTTTTTATCATGTAAGCTGTGATAACTATATACCTTTCATAACTATACTTTAATTACTCTGAAGTTGTTCATTACTAAACACTTATACATCACTGACTTGACACAGTTTGCTTTAGATTTTACGAGAATTTTATTGAATTGGTGACTTAAAACTTTGAGGACTCATAGAAAGGAAGAGAAAATGATATAAAAAGAGAGAAGCACATGTTTTCAATGGTAACATTCAGAAAGAAGACTTTGAAATGCATAGCTTAAGTCTAATTAGACAAAGTCTCCAGTTTGTTTTTTGAAAGTTTGCGTGACTGCTGTTACTGTACTATTCCCCTTCCCTGTTCAGTGCTGGAAGTGTACCAGTTTGCACGGGATGCGTCCCAGGCCGAGGCGTGGCTTATGTCCGTCCAGAACTACCTTAGCAAAGAGAATCTGGGAGTATGTACATGTACCACTTGTGTATGTGGCTGTATGTTGTGTAACGCTGGGCTGTGCTTTTTCTCAATCAGTGCTTGAGGTATACCAGTTTGCTCGAGATGCCACGCAGGCAGAGTCGTGGCTAAGTGGTCAGGACGCTTACCTTCGCAAGGACAACCTGGGAGTACGTATCTATCCTGCCTTACATGTTAGGCTTTGTGTGTTTGGTATGGTGTATATATATGTACAATTTTCAGTGTGATATTCTACAGCAATGCTTACTACTAATGCTGTGTACCGCTTCACTGGACTTGGATCCGGACTTGTAAGAATGTTTAGGTTCAAGTAAAAAAAAACTAAAAGTCAAGAACCGAGTCCGGACTTATTACCAAAAAAAAGCATTTCACATACCCCTTTTCTTTCCAAACCACCTAAAACCCTCCGTAAATTGCAAAATCTTTGCTGCAAAATGAAGAAAACATTGCCATCGGGCATCGTTTTAGCATCGGCCTCCATGTTATGTGGCCAAAGTTTTGCCCAAACAGCATTGCAAGGTTGCCAACATGCAATTTTGTATATGCCATGGGTTAAGGTCCGGACTTACAAGTCCAGAACTGAACCTAAACCTCTGGACTTGAATCCGGACCTGAACCTAAATGTGGGTTTAGGTACACAGCACTACTTACTACTATCAATACCAGGAAATTCCTCAAAAGCAGTGCTGTACCCCTCTTCACCTTCATGATTCTAAAGTTGTGTCCCTGATGGGTGTATCATGTCAGTGTGCTAAAGGTTAAAAAATGATAACCAACTTTTTTGGGGGAATTTGGATAACACAGATGTTTTAAAGAAATTATAGCGATGTTTATGAATGCTGGCTTTAATAATATACATCAAATTCAATAATTAAGGATAAAACCGTCATAATGCTCTTGAGGATAACATGCTGAAGTTTTGTTACCGCATGTCCTTGAAATGTTGGTCTGAAAGTCTTAACTTGCATGTGTTGAATGTTGTAAGAGTACCAGCATCAAAGATGTAGTCTTGTTGACATGTTGTGTGACTGAACACCTCTCCTCCCCATCAGGAGTCTGTGGCTGAGGTGGAGAAACTGATCAAGAAACACGAGGCGTTCGAGAAGTCCACAGGCACCCAGGTGGAGCGCTTCACCGCCCTGGAAAGACTTACCACTGTACGTGGACTTTCTTATTATTAATTACAATGCAGTGTTCTAGCCAGCGTCCGTCTTTTTATTGCCTTCAACAGAAGGCTATGAAATCGTTTTGGTACTGTTTGGCAGATTATGCAGGCATTTTGAAGGCATGGTACGAGGTTCACGATTTTTGGTAGGCAGGTTGTCTTAGTGATGCGCATTGTCAAGGCCAAAAATGGGCTTCATGGGGGGTTCTTATTATTTGGTGTAATAACTACACTCTGACAGACAAAAATTTGGTCCAACCCATATCTTTGATGGATAAAAATCGGCATGTGAAGATGTGGAAAGAGCTGTCATTAAACTAAGCTTAGTCTACAGGCAAAATTTGCCCCTCAATGCAAAAAAATAACATTTCAGATGGTCAAGATTTTTATCATTTTCCCGGGGGAACATGCCCCAGAAACCGCTTTTCGGCACTCAAAATATTACGTCAAACAACATTGAGATGACGGAAACATTCAGTGTGGCAAGAACGCTGTTGACATATATATCAACCTTTCTCTGATGTTTGCTTTCGATTGACTTTGGGTTGTAGGATGTAGTACAGTTTTTTTTTAAGAAGAGAAATAAGAGCTGTTCTCTCTCTTTCCAGCTTGAACTGCGGGAAAAGAAGAAGACAGAGGAGGACGAGTTCCGCCGCACACACCCAGAGAGCCCCAAAGCCGTCTCTCCACCAAAATCTCCTGCAAGGTAAAGACAGGACCATGTGTAGACCATGTACAACTGGAGCACCCCCCCCCCATCACACCCCATTCCCAAACAGAAACAATAGTGGGAACTAACATCATCATGATATATAAACAACACCACATAGTCTTCATATCTATCCAATCAATCCAAAAGAAACAAAGTATTTGACAAGAGAATCCGGTAAAGAAACTGCCATCACTGCTTATAAACTCTAACAGTTATTAACAATCTATAATTTTATTTATTTATTATTGTATTCATACTTAATTTCAGTATTGTGTTTTTATGCTAAAATTTTATGTTTCTATTTTGTAATATTACCTTATGTTTTACATTTTGTGTTGTATTGTTTCCTTGTTACATGTGTGATTTATTTCTACTTATCCTTAACATTTAAAAGAAGATTCCAATCAGTGGAACCAAACTAAAAGTTTATCTTAAAGTAAACCCCTGGTTAATTGTGAGGGCATAACATGAATCAGCAGCCTGCAAATTAGGTGCCTCCTTCAGTTGGAGGGTTTGCAAGCTGCTGGTTTTCCATCTAACAATCCCCCCTAAAAAGTCAGCATAAACCTTCCTCGATATACCATACACACTAGCCATGACTCTGACGACGAGGCCACCTGGCAGCCTCCGGCTGAAGCGCAGGCTGTCCAAGCCTCGCTCCAGCAGCATGTGCTGGAAAGTGAGCCTGACGCGCAGCATCACGTGTCGTTTGCGGAGCCCGGGTCCCCGATGTGGGTAGAGGTGCACGACACCCCCGTGGAAGACGAGCATGAACCCTCCCACCTGGATGTTTCCACTGACATTGATACTGACCCTGAGACTAATGTTGACACTGGTGCCAGGTACACTTCCCATGATTTCAACAACAACAACAACAACTCTGGAGCCCAGTCCTTAGCAAGGCCTGCACAACCAGCATCAAAATTATTCCTCTAAAATATGGAACCTTTATGTTTATTATTTTTTTCATTGGTGCTGCTGGTGCCACCTTATTTGACCATGCTAAGGAATGGACTGCATCATTCCAGTCTCCAAGTTGTTAACTTCTCATCCACCCTGTCAATAACAACACAAATCAATAACAGCCCGTCGATAATAAATGTTCATTACTCATCATGCATGCGATATATAAACACCCGCATCACCTTCCAGCATGCCGTGATTCTGGCATTTCAAGGAGCAAACTGCCCTCACTGCGCAATCATTGTTACTACATGCATGCTCCTGTCATCATCATAACATCTGTGCATGTACCTGTACCATGTCCGTCATACCAGTATTTAACACACTCATCCAGATAATGCAAATGCCAATCACACACGTGGTAGAGGGAAATACTGTGGACCTTGTGTAGACAACTAAGCCTATCTAGCTGCCTCTTATTCTGTCCTGATTATTCAAGCAGTAGCTGTAGATCTGTGCAAAAAATGATACAAATTCTGCTGTCCTTAGAATTAGAATATAAATCATGTAAGTTTGTTATGCTAGACAAAGTCTCAATCTTTATTGATGAAATATAGATTCTGAAATATTTACGACTAATTCTGCATTAATCTGGAAAGTAATTTGTATAGTTTGTAGTTTTGACAATCTCTTTCAGCTTGTTGCAGCTGGCTACTTGTAATTAGGTTTAGGTAACACTGCTTTATGCTTCTGTGACATCATCTAAAGTATGTTTTGTCTATTGTTGTAGAATAATATAGCATTGGAAGTACCGTCAATTGAATTAATGGCTTGAGCAAAGTTTAACGATTTGTAAAACAAGCCACGAGGAGTAAATGAAACCACTATGGCTTCTTTATGAGAAAAGTGAAAAATCTCCAATGAGTATGCTTGCTGGTTTGGGCTGTGTTCCTGTCTGATTTTTGTGGTGCTATTGTTGACAGGGAGGAGGCACAGGCTGTGGTGGATGGAGAAGTGGCTGAGCCAGCTAAACCTTCCCCAGAGCAACAGGTACGTGTGTGGATTCATCAACAGTCTTTTAAAGGCATCCTATGCAATTTCAGGGCAGCAAAACAAAAAAAAAATTGTGGATGAGGAAATCTGTCTGCTATTGACACTTCTTACTTGAAACATTTGAAATAGCCCCAAAACAAGCTATGCGAGTCACTTTATTTTTTTGCTACTACCCATAAAAAACTAGAATTAGCCGACGATATAAAACAAGCAACCATTGACGAGTGACATCATGTGTTTGCCTCACAGATATCAGTATGCTGTGGGATAGGATTGATTCAACTTGCTGCATTAAAAGAATGACCAGAAAATTGACTTTGAAAATCCAGTTTTGCCATACTGAAATTGCATTTTTTTATGCCTTTAAAAGATAATATGATGATCATATTTATGCTATTGGTATTTTTTTTTACAATCATTTGTGTATTTCAATGTGAAAACGTGGTTTGTGTGATTTCCGGCAGCCCGTAGTGAACGGCGAACATGAGGCAGCACAGGAAGCGGCGCCGTCGGCTGAACCCGTGGTGAACGACAGCGGGGAGCCCGGCCAGGCTGAACCCTCCATGGAGGGCATGCTGCACAGGAAACATGAGTGGGAGGCTCACGCCAAGAAGGCTTCCAACAGGTACATGTACAGACACAACTACAGTGCACCTACAGACACACATGTGCAGCTGAGGCCACAACAATTTAATTTGTTGTTTCTCGAATTTTTTCAGAAAAAATATGAAGCGAACGGGCGAAATAAAAAAAATAAAAAAAACAGGCCATGGCACCCCATGATAGCCGGAAATGTTACGGTATGAGCCATGAAGTCAACATACCAGGCTGGTTTATAATTAAAACAATAGATTCTAAACTTTTAATGAAACAAAGTTTGCATAGTTACATTGAAAAACTTAAACAACTAGGAAGACTTTCTTCAACTGTTGGGGCCAAAATATGTCTTTCATTGAGCATTTTGCAGTTGATTTAGAACCTAAAATTTTTTATTTAATTGTTTTTTGCAAATCAGAAAAAAATGGAATAAACGATTTTTTAAAAAATGGAATAAAAAATTAAATTGGTGTGGCCTAATCACAACTTTTAGCAGTCCAGGTTTCAGCTGCAAACAGAAAAAAAATGGAGATGAAGTATTCACAATGCAACCATTTAAAGACTTAAACCTGGCTGACCATGTGGCGAGGAGTTACACAAATGATGAAGGCAGCTGGCCTTGAATTGTGTAATGTTGCTAAAATTTTGGGCAAGCCTTTGAGGTAGTTTCAAGAATCTTACTGTACAATAGCCTACTACAGTTTTGTACCAAACTAATGAAACTATTTGGCTTGTAAATGCCCAAGTATCAATGAAAAGGAAGTGGTAGTTCATTAAGATGTACATATTATCATGAAAGTTCATCTGTGTTGGTAGTTACGTATTTAAAGTTAAGACTTTTGGTCTAACACAAAAAAATTCTCTCACCTAGAGCTTTCGACCTGTCACTCTGGTCTTCCTCAGTAGACTGACCCAGTGAGGATACATGTGTACCTTTGACCCAGTGTTGACGTCACACTTCAAAGAAGCCATGTGACAAGCTTCACTGGGTCAGTCTACTGAGGAAGACCAGAGTGACTGGTCGAAAGCTCTAGGTGAGAGAATTTTTTGTGTCGGACCAAAAGTTTTAACTTTAAACATGTAACTACCAAAACAGATGAACTTTCATGATAGTATCAGATATGGAAGATTTCATACATGCGTGAAGCATCCGGAAACTATTGTTCAATTCATATTTGAATGTCTCAAGTTTAGTGAACACAGCACTTTCTTGACAATTA